TGGACCACCGCTCAGGTTTATATGCTCAGTTTCTTAAAGCATAACTGCTGGCCAGTCAAGTAGATCCTCATCAACCCTGTGATGATTCCTCTGTGCAGAAGCGTTCCTTCCACAAAGCGGAGCGACACAAGACTTCCTCCACGCTGCCATGCGGCCTGACATGATCACAGAGACCGAGGTGGAGATATCAACAGAGGAATGTTGTGAGGAGGAGGATGAGGACATGGCTACGGTTATGGACGATCCGGAGCCAGAACCCGACCACGAGCCAGTCAGGAAGAAGCGAGGTAGACTTAAAAGAGCTGGAAGTTAACTTATCTGTTATGTGGAGGAAGCCAGAGCCCAAAATGTTCATTTGATATCTTTAACTTTCTGGGGGCTTGTTAAACTTTGGAAAAAGGGAAATATTCAGTGTTTCAAGCCAAGATTTAAATGGAAAACATCTGGAAGCACTGATGCCAAGTTGTAAATCCAAAACCAGAACCTTGTAATTATGCTCAGTGACTTTATCCAAGAGCACCATCTAGTGGTCAATTTATCCTACGGAGGGGGTCACACCTCGGTCTCACAACTGACTTCTTTCAAATGTTTCCCTTCCCAGCCGGACGGAAGCCGAAGACGCATCAGTCAGCCATTTCCAACGGCTCACCGGACGTCGGCATCAAGAAGAAACCAAGAGAAGGAAAAGGTATCCAAGCAGTAACTAAACTTTCTCCCACTGGCAGAAACATTTCACGTTTAAAGCCAACCCTGACTGGGAACTTTTCTCTCGCAGTCAGTATTTTCACATTAAAGGAAGCGTTTGAATTTTATTGAAATAAAGCAGCTGTGGCGTGAAAAACAGCTGGATTCACTCACATTTGTGACCGAAGCTTTGTTTAACACTTTGACGGCAATAATCAAGGAAACCACTGTTCCCCACTGGAGCAGATTTAAATACCTTTTATACTCACCAAGCAGAAGGAATAAGAAACAGGACTCATACACAGTGCAGCATCTTGGGTTTAAAAAAAGGCAGC